AAAAAAAAAAAAAAGCCTTTAACACTGTCACATTATGAAAGAAAAATGATTTACACCAAAAAATGTAGGATAGCATTTCAGAATAAAGGATTATTTTAAAAGTTTGAATAAGTTTACCTTTATAAAACACTCACCCCCTTTTCCTCCTAGTTCTCCTGCTGTGGGCGAGGAGAAATGCTGTCCCAGCCCAGCATCAACTCTGGCTGGCACGGAGGAGCTCTGGCCAAAGCAGAAGGTACAGGCTCTGGGGTCAGCTGGCTCCTAGACTACCAACAATATAATCAATGTGTCTAAACCTCCATTTCTCATCCATGAAATGGGGATAATTACAGAGCCAGCTCAGGGGACTGTTGTATAGATTAAATCAGATAATGCATATAAAGTAGTTAACATAAGGGCTTAATAAATGACCATTATTATTTCCAGACTCTGAAATGCTGCCACCTTGGGGCTAGCGTCCCTCCTCTTCTCACAAGAAGGCTCTGGTTCCTTCTCTGGTTCCAACACCAACCTCTTCCAATTTGCTGTCTCCTCAAGACCCTTCCCCAGACCTTTTCTGAGGTTTGTGACCAGAGAGGGGCTGGTCAGTTTCTCCTGGTGTCGGGTAGGGGGCTGTGCCATAACCCTGTGTTCTCTAAAAGAGATACAAAGAAGAGGCTTACTGAAGCCCAGGACCAAGGATCTGGGCAGGGGCTGAAAACAGAATCATAACACAGCAATGAAAAGGAGGTGCAGACAACCCAGCGGCCTGTCTCTTCATGTCCAGCCGCTCACTTGTTGGGCACGTCTCATGGTGCCACACACCCGCTCCACCAACTTTCCACAGATTAACATACTCAACTGCCATCACAACCCTGTAAGTGTCGCTATTCTCCTCACTTTACAGATGCGCAAACTGAGGCAAAGAGAAGACGGGTAACTTGCTCAAAGCTTACACAACCAACAAACACTGGAAATGGGAGCTGGTTGCAAGTCTGCTCCGTTCCTTCCAACACTGCAGAGCTCTCACCAAATCAACTGATATCTAAGGGACACTTACCATATGTTTAGTATTGTGCCAAAAACTCTAGGATAACAGAGAAAGTAAGACTTAGTCCCCAGGACAGGAAGAGGTCCTAGAGGAATAAGTAGGGTGGATGGGGAGAGGAGAGGCTTCCTGCCCCCAGGTCCCGAGGACTAAGGCAAAACCAGGATGACAATCACTCAGGTGTGGGAAGGAGCGGGAGTGAGAAAGCCTGGGCTATTCCTCCTCCTGAGTGGGGCTCTCTGGAGCCCAAGGCTGTGGCACGTGAGTACTTACTTCATGTCCTCCCTTTGGGTCCAAGTGAGCAGAAGGCAGAAAGAGGAGTCCAGTCAAGGTCAAGGAGAGGGCCCAGTATCCTGGTTTCTGCCACGTCTCCCCTGCCTCTCCCTCAACCTCAATGGCCTGCCCTGGGCAGAAGTGGGACATCTGGAGTGTGTGTCTTATGTGGTATGGAGAGCCCAAGTATTCTGCAGACCTGAGGTCCTGCCAGGATGTAGCTGTACACAAAGGGCTGAATACAGAATTGAAGAGGTCTGTGGGCCTCTTCCCTTTACCCTCTACTCCCTTCAAAAGCTGTGGCAAGGATGCCAGGGTAGCTCCAGGGGCTGGAATGACGACCTGCCTCCTACCCCCACATCCACCCAGCCTCTGGAGGCAGCTCCCGCCCCGAGCCGGCCTGTCATCCCACATTGCTCTGATTAGCTATAATCTTTCTTTTTCAATTTCTCCTCCCTGAGACTAGGGAGCGAGAAAATCTCCCAGAAAATGAATAAATATTTCAATTTTCGGCGCAATCAGTCTGAGGAGCCGGCGCATGATGGAAATGGGGGGAAGGATAATGGTTTTCATTTAGATAAGATACAGAAAATTATTTAGTGAAAAATGAAGATTGATGAAGCCCATTGAAATTCTTTAAAATGCGATTTTTATTCTCAGCCTGAGCTGAATCTCCCCTTCCCCTCCTCTCTGCTCCCCTGAATTCTATAGACTTCTGCCACCTACTCCCCACCTCCGTCTCCTCACCACCACCCCTTATCCCCCTGCAGCCCCTCTTCCCTTACCGCCCCAGTCCCTGACCTAGAGCTCCAGAACCCCTTCTTTTTAAGGATGGAGGCCAAAGAGATGGAGTCTCACAAAGCCCTCACCCCCATGTGTGTTCCTGTCTCCCTAGACCCCCACTCCTTCCCTCCCTGCCTCCTCCCAGGTCCTTGCTTGAGCTTCCTCACTCAGTGATTTCCTCTCCCCTAGGTCTATTTTCTCCTTTTCTTTTCTTTGGTACCTCCCCCCCACCCAGACACTTTCACAGGGTCTTTGCTCTTACCCTGTTTCAGGCTCAGCATTCCTCAACCCCTTCCCCCTTTCCAAAGAGAGAAAGGCACACAACACACACTTCTGTACCGGTTTAATCCACATGTCTCTCCTGTTTGCTAACTGCAGCTTTTGTTCCTTAACACTCATTCGTATCCATGTTGCTGACATGTGAGGGCCGCAAGGAAGGAGCAGACATAAGCTTGCCCCCGACACATACCAGTACTGACCCCACCCCCTCAGCGCCAGCCCTCCCCCTCCCCCCTCCAGCAGCCTGGCTGAACAAAGTCAGAACTTAAGTCATCTTCCCAACTTTCTGCCAAGTGGCTGGGCTGGCCTGGCCCGCCAACCCTGAGGCCAGGCCTCCTTCCCCAGGGCACCACCTCCCGCTCCTGGCTCACACCATGGACGTGTGCCCTTCCCCTATCTTAAGTGTGTGTCGAGGGGGGCATGGGTCCCCTGTGTGGGGAAATGAAGCCAGACCTGTCCTCCCTAACTCAGCCCCTTCGCTTTCAGAGCTGGGGAGGCACCTGGCAAGGAGGAGGGGACCAGGGTAAAACCCCACCCACAAACCCAGGATGGAACTGAGAGCAAGGCAGTTAATACCGGAGGCTGTTCTAGCACTGCTGACCTCCCAGTTCCAGATTCCTCCCCCCAAAAAAGAGACCACCTCCTCCATTTTGTAGTCCCTACATCTCCGTAGGTGTCTGCCTACATGAACGAATGTCTGAGCAAGTTTCTTTGTTTGCTTGAGGGTTGTGTCTGTAAAGGGGTTTGTGTGTGTCCTTGTGATGGCTTGCCTGCATACATGCACCATGGGCATGAGTTTACTGCTTGTGTGAGTCTATGCCAGTCTAGGGAAGGAATGTGTCCTCCTGGGATGTGCTGTGTCCTCCTGGGATCCTGGGATGTGCTGCGTCTTTGTGTACATATATCTCTCTCAGTGTGGGGGATGTTTGTGGGTACACCTCCCTCTGTAGGTGAGTCGTCTGTCTCAGCGTCTGTGACTGTTTTATGGTGTTTGTGTGTCAATTCCTGCGTGTCAGCTCCATTTTGGGGGAGGGGGAGGAGCTCCACAGGATTAAAGCTTCCTCAGAGTCAGACCCCAGAAGCAGGAACCCACTTCACAGACCCCAACCCTGGCTGGAGTCCAGGCCCTTGGTTCCCTAAGCCCTAGTCCCTCCCACTCCCCAGCCCTGCCCAGCATACACTAACAATCTCATCCCCTCCAGCCACCTCCCTTACCTGCCAGCCTCTCCCCTGCCAATCGCAAATAAGTCCCAGACAGCACTACTCTCCCTACCCCAAGTGGGGTGTCAGTCCACCTGGAGTTCCTCCTCCATATCAGCCCAGCCTGATGCTGTACTTGGAATTCCACTCTCCCCAGTCAGGGGTTCCAAATCCCCACAGAGACCCCCGAGCACCTCTCCCTTCCTCTAGAGGTGGCAACCCCAAGTAGGAGCTGGGGTTCAGACTTAGACCGCCGGAAGGGCTGGTATGGAGAGGGGGAATCTTCTCCGCAACATCTTTGGGAGCGTGGAACCCAGCTTTCCTTGCATCCCAACCTCCAAAATCCTAAATCCAGCCTTCCCCTTAGGCAGGACCCAGGCAAACGGACCCCTGGCGCTAGAGGGAAGGCTGCCAGAGGCTCCGGAAGCGACTTTGAGCGTTCGAGTCCCCTTTTTACTCGGACCTCCAGCCCTCCCTGCCCCCATTCTCGGTTCTCCCGCGCAGCCAGAGGAAACAACTTGGGCAAATCAACGGAAAACTCCTCGCCAGCCCCGGCTGCTCCGCGCGCGGACCAAGCCCCCGCCTCGTGGCGTCCGGACCCCGGCGCTCCCCCTGCGGGGCGCATCCCTCGGCCCCGGGCAGAGACGAGCGTCCAGGGCAGGCAGGGGGCCCTTACCTTGGGAGAAAGTGTCGGAGAGAGTGAGGATCCAGACGAGGAGGCTCAGCATGCTGCCAGCTCGCCCGCCCGGCTGGGGCCCGGAGTTGGCGAGGGAGCTGGAGCAGGGGCTGGGGAGGAGGGAGCAGGGCCCGCCCCCGCCCGCCCGCGCCGCCCCTGCGCGCTCACGCGCGCGCGCGCACACTCACTCACACACAGACACGCGCACACAAACACAGACCCAGGCGCGCGCACACTCGCTCACACACAGACACACGCGCTCTCACACACAAACGCGCGCACACTGCGTGCGCGCGCACAAACTCAGTCCCCTTCCCTCCGTGTCTTTCTCTCCGTCCCTCCAGTCCCTTTCCTGTCTGTCCTGCTTCTCGCCCCCTGCCCCCGCCCTTAATTATTTCTAAACTCCAGCTTTATCTCTCCGAGTCTTTTCCGATCTCTGCGCTGCTCTCCCTTTCTCTCCCCTTCTCTTCCTCCCTCGCTCCCGCCCTCCAGTCTCCCCCTCCCTCTCCCCCGCCTGACGTCTACTCTCCCTCCGACGGCGCCTCCCCCGCCGCCCTCCCTCTGCCCCAGTGCGCTCACTGGCTCACACCCCTCGCTGGCACCGGGTGGAAAGCATAGCGAAGAGAGGGGACTTGAGGGCAAAGGGGGTAAAGGACGTGATGACCGCGGACTCCGGGACAGGCATGGCAGGACCCTGCCCGTCCGCACTTCCTCCGGTTTATGGACCCAGCCTTGGTGGCTGGCTATGGGACTAAGGAACCGGGATGGGGGGGGGGCGCATGGGCGAGGACAAGCGTCCGGCCCAGAGGATGACTGGGTTGGGGACAGTGTGCGTGTGCGTGTGCGCGTGTTTCCGTGTGTGTCTGGGGGAAACGGAGTTAAAAGAAACATAAAGATTAAAAACCTCTCTCTCCCCCTCTCCGTTTTTAATCCCACACCCTGACCCTAGACCCTAGTTTCCCCAAATCGAGAATTCTCAATTGACTGAAGAATGCTTGGGGGAGGGGGCACACATTCCTCTCCCAACCTACAAAACCCAGAGCCGAAAACCGGCTTCAGCGCCTGCCAGGGGCGTCCAGTCAGCTCCGGCGGGGCAGCCTAGATGCCGGGAGTCGTCTTCTGCAGTTGCTCCATCCTTTGTTCGATTTAGGCATCTGCCGGTCCAGGAGGAGAAGCCGACTCGAGGGCGCAGAAGGGCAGGGCCTCGCCTGGCCGGCCTCTCTGCGACCGGGAGGAGAGGGCAGGCCTCCAGGGTCTCTAAGCACACTGGAGTTTGAGATCCTTTGGGGTCAAAGAGACCTAAGAACTGGGAAGGGAACTCCTGGTGAGAGTAACCTGGACATTCAGCATCTCCCCTATCTTAAGGGCCCACTTTGGCCACCAGCTTCTTGCCCAACCCCTCACTAGATGCTTCTGCGCATGGGATTGATGAGAGGAGGCAGGTGGTCTGGACCCTGGGGGATGAATCCGGGGGAAATAACTGAAAAGTCACAGGAATTGCACAGTCTTGCAGTAATGCACTGGTCTGAAGAGGTCTCCGCCTCTTTCCTCCCAGATTCGAGGTCTCCCGGGTCTCTTAACACTCCCAGGCACCAGGCGGGATTTCGGCCCCTGCGGCCGGCGCGTGGCTCTCTGGTGCCCTCTGCCGATGAGTAGCAGCTACAGCTCCTGTTTCCCGCGCGGATCCTGATAACCAGCCAGGGGTGGGAACCTGAGGCCTCAAGGCCACACGTGGCCCTCCAGATCCCCCTCGACTGAATCCAAGCTGAAATGTAGATTCAGTCAAAAAGGCACACTCAAGGATCCAGAAGGCCACCTGTGGCCTGCAACCACACGTATGCACAGACCTGGAGAGTCCTTTACATGTTTGAAAACACATATGCACACCAGCAAATGCACCATGTCAGAATAAAGAGCTATACCCAGCCCACAGAAGCAGAAGTACAGTCCTCAACACAAAAAGGCACTGACACACACCCACATGAGGGTTTTCTGTTATTCATCCACTGACCATACATTCCACAGATATTTCCTCAGTGCTTGCCACATTCTAGTCACAATTCTAGGCTTTGGGGATACAACAGTGAAAAAAATGACAGTCCTTCTCCTTTTTTCTCCTTTTACGTTCCATTCTGGAAGAGAAGGGAGGCAATAGAAGAATGTAAACCACAGCACGCTGTGGTCAATGTCATGGGAGACAAGTGAAGCAGGATGAAAGGAACAGGGAGTGGAAGGAAGGATGGTGTTCCTGTTCTTATGGGGACCAAGGGAAGTGGCCCTGCTAGAGTGACATTTGCACACAATCCTGAAGGAACTGTGGGATTTAGCTACTCACACATCTGAGGGAAGAATATAATGTGTGTGGTTAACAGTACAAGCACAGGACCTCAGATAGGGTGTTCTGGAAGTCTGAGTAAAACAGTCTCTTCTCCACATAAAAGTACATGGAGGGGGCGGTGCCTCGGGCTCAGTGAGTAGGGTGCCGGCCCCATATACCAAGGGTGGCAGGTTCAAACACTGCCCCCGCCAAACTG